TCAATTATAGTAAATAACTAGCATGTTCATAAGTATTAAAACTTAATGAGTTTGAATACTAACCTTCTGTAGTTCAAATTCCTTTTTTCCTCACGAACCAGTTTCGAACCACCACTAGTGTCTTCTCCACTATCCTCCGACCTTAGAACGGGATTGTGGAATCCAGTGAGTGACTAAACTTGGGAGGGTTTTTGTATATACGAAGAGAGTGTTTGTGAGAGGTTTTTCTCAAGGTTTTCACCAAGAAGACCTTTCATATACCATGATCATTCTATTTATAGAGTCATGTTTGCATGTTCATGCAAATTTGAGATCACCAAATTTTGAAACTCAAAAAATTCCACTCAAATGTTTGGGATTATGTGGCAAGCATGCATGTTTGAGTTAACCAAATTTTGACACTCAAAATTCCACTCAAACTTGTGGGGTTTATTTGGCAAGCATGCAAGTTTAGTTAAACCAAATTTTGACACCTCAAAATTCCACTAACATGGATTTTTCAATTAAATGAAGTCAACAGTTCGACTTTCTTCATTTTAATTCAACAATTAATTTGAATAATTAATTTCAAATTAAAGTAATATTAAATGATTAATTAAACCATTTAATTAATATTTTCATGAGCAACCATACATTATGTCACACAACTCACATCAGATATATTCTTAATCTTCAAACAGAAATTATGCATGCAATAGGTCTCAAAACATTTATTTTTATAGTTAGCATACATCGTATCACGTAACACTCAGCCATACAATAACAAATATATTCAACCCTTTTAGAAAAACAAAACAATTAAGTTTCAATAGAAGACCTCTTACTTCGAGAGCTTCTTTTCTAATTGTCCCTATAGATATTGGTCCAACTTCGACTTAGATCGAGCCTACATTGAAACACCCAAGTTAACCAATCCAACTTGACGTGACACAACGACTCCTACAAATCATAGGTTTTATTGCTTACCTTTTTCCTACGTAGAGGTTGGGTCAAATCCAAACTATTCAGAAAAGAACACATTGTAACTTCGTTGGTTGGCGCATTGTACCTTGGTTACGTTTACTCCTCCAAATAGTGGTTCTGGCGATGACGACAGTGTTCAATTCGTTATGGCAATAACAATTCGATGCGCGACAGCGACTGGTGGTGGTCATTCGACGTGCGGTGGCGGCGCGGGACGGCATGGGCGATGGTGGCGCCAGCGCGAGTGATGGATGATAATGACTATTTAAAGAAGAAGATGATGATAAAGAGGAAAAACAAGGCAGCTGAACCTTAAGGGTTTATTTTAATGTATTGGGCCTTGGGCCCAGAATTTAAGGGGTTTTATGTCCTTAAAACTCATAGTTTATAAACAAAAACATATTAGGTTTTCAATAAAGTTATTATTGATGTCTATTAAGTAAAGATTGTTATTGAATAAAGTGAATGTTACTATCATTAATCTAAATCCAATAAACTAAGAACACTCTGGCTATAGTATGATTACTTGAATTATATGTAGAGACATAGAAGTGAATCAAATTCAAGTATATAGTCAAAATGATGATAAAGAGGAAGAACAAGGCAGCGGCTAGGGTTTGTGAGTGGCTAGCTCGACTCAGGCTTCGTGCTCTATTACATGGGTGGTTGGCTTTTGTGGCTTTATGTAGCTGATCCCTAGAGTTTTTTTTTTTTTTAATGTATTGGGCTTGGACCTAGGGTTTAATTTTTAATTTATTGGGCTTGGGCTAAGGTTTATGTAGCTTAACCTAGGGTTTATTTTAATGTATTGAGCCTTGGGCCAAGAATTTGGGCCAAGAATTTGGGCTTTATGCATCCAACCATGTCTGGAATTTGAAAGAGTCCAAGGTCAAGTCATAGTTTTAAAGGATATGTCCCATCATTAAATGTGTGTATACTAATCCCAACAATGGGATAGCTTATTTAGTATTTCTTAAAATATTCAAGTCACAAGCTACCCTTATTTTTCACGTAAAGGTAAAGCGGTCTTGCATAGGTGACGATAAATTCTGAAATTACCATGGAAGAAATCATGATAGAGAAGTAGTATGCATTCATTTTCATTGAGTAGTTGATAGGATGATTATTTCATTTTTCATGTTCAAAGACTACGTTAGTTCTATTTTCTTATTTTAAATTAAACGTGTAAGTTCATGGCTTCATTTGTAAATATTTTATTTCAAACTTCCACATATGTTATTTATGGCATTCATGTGATGATGCCTCTAATTTAAGCAATAATATTAGGGGTGTTACATTACTGAGTGTGATATGTGATGAAAGAATGAGGATTGTCCTGCATGATTTATTACGCCACGAAGAAAAATATGTAGACCTCAAGCATATTTGTATGTTCACGTGCACTGGGATACTTCCCCTTTATGATGAAATATGGATGCGTACACTATGAGACAAAAATGATTATCCAAAGGAGCTAGTCCGACCAGTAGGCTAAGAGGGTGCGCAAGCCCACCTAGTTGGCCCATGCTCGCACATGTAGGTCGTGTGTAGAGAAGTAGCACATATCCAATTTTTCTTGATTGGAAAGTCGGCTAAGAGAATACGATTTAAAATTATAGGTCTCTTCTATGCATGTGTTTGCATTCACCAAACCAGATATTGGGTCACTTAAGGAGTATTTCTTAAAATACTCGAGCCTTGTGTTATGCTTAAATTTCAGGTAAAGGCAAGACACCCATGTATTGTTGACGAGGACATCACCTTGAAGATCACGGAATCTTTGTTAGTGTAGTTGCATTTTCACTCCTTAGATATTACGTTAGATTAGACCATTGTTTTAATCTTTTCTTTGGTTTTATTTATATTTCATATTGAATATTTTTCATTGTTTTATTTTAAGGCTCTTCATGCAAATGTATATGTCCATGACATCATTTTATTAATTATTTTAAAGAATAAATCTGCATAAAATGATCACGTCATGCATATGGTGTAACAACAATAAAAAAAAAAAAAACAAAAAAAAAACCTACTAATCTCATCTCTCCGAGCCAAGCTCTCATACACCACCAGATATTACAATTTATTCACGCATATTACAATTTTGAAAACTTGTATTCATATACAAATTTAATTTTTTTTTTGCTTCATAATTTAAAATTTTTGGAGAACAACAATACACTTCATTATCAAATACATTTCATACAAAAAAAAAAACAACAACAACAACCTTTTTGTGTTATCCCATTATTTTTCATTTCCCATTATTTTTCATTTCTTCCTCAAGGATAATTCCACCGAAAGGAGATAATAAAGCTTCTCTATCTTTTATAGATCCACTTGTGAATCAATTCATCAACATTAGCAAGAAAGTTTCTCAAGTAAATTCTATCATCTTTAGCCGTCCAAATACAAGTTCCTACAGTTCCATGTTTGCACCTATCACAGAGCCATAAGTGCTGCGTTTCAGGCCAAAAGTGTAACACCCGCTCATCGTCAACGCAATTAACAGGAGTTACCATCGACAACAATAACAAACTCTGATATCCAATCATAAAACTCAAAATATTTCTAAAAACATCCAGTAAAATATTTAAAACCAGTACTTTTAAAAACTTAAAACGACCAAAGTAAATTCTTGACAACGAAAACATAATTACATAAACAGACCCAGACATGGATTCCCAATAGTCTCTAGCCCGCTGGTCTCATCCTCGGTTGGCCTGCATCATCTAAATCTGGAAAGAAAAGTTATAATAATTTTGATGAGTAATTAGATTACTCAGTAAGTAGCTAGCTTATCATTAAAGAGTTCATAACTAATCTTTCCAGGTGTTTTTAAGTTTTATTCATCATTGACTCCTAGTTCTCTTACTAGGGTCATCTGTTCGTTAATGAGGTATCTCAGCTACCTCCAGCTAGGTTACTGACTCTCTCTCGATATGCTTATCTAGAATTTTCGGACTCGTATGTAAGACTCGCTCTCGGTCAAATACGGCCCGTCTACTAATTGATCTGATGGCCTGTTTATCTCATATACCAACGGTCAGGAGTACTCATGCTCCCTGACTTAGCACACAGCGCGTTGGCCAGGAACTCCGCGGGAATTAGTAGACTATCATACCCATATAAATAAGTCATAACTCAACAACCAATAAGCATATCTTAGAGTCATAACCTTTCTATTAACATGCATAACATACTCACAGTTACTGCATGTTTTCATACATGTATCATGTTCAACACATAGAACATTCTGACAATCATTTATATCATGCTTACATCACAGGCAAGCAGTCACAATATACAATAAACACTCAATATCATCAAAGCTCATCATAACATATTAAGCTCTTAATCAGGTAAACAACATACTCACATGTTGTAAAACAAGTTAAGAACTAGTTCAAAGGTCGATACGCTACTTACTTGGTTTCGAACTTCTTTTCCCCCTTGAATGTACGTTTAATAGTATTTCAACACAATTCCTTTCTATTAGACCTATATTTTATCAATTTCAACATAAGTATAGACCAATTTTGATAGGACAGGTCAAAAGGAGTCGAACGGGACAAACTGGGAGCCAAAATACCTGCTCACGCGCCCTCACGCGCCAACACAAGGTTAGGGTTCGTTTCTCACGCGCCTGATCCGCGCACAATCGCACTTCCACTCATGGCCTCCCACGCGCTCGTCTTCAACCTCTCCTCTCTGCAATTTTTTTTTCCAATCTTTTTCCTTTAATACCCGTTGTGTTTCGAAGCAAAAATTTCATCTCTACAGCGAATTTCGTGCTGATTTTTTCTACAACTTTATAGATTTCCTAACTACGGTTCTAACAAGCCTTATTTCATAATTTATTATGCAGTATGAATCAAGATATTGAGATTTAAAGGTTCGGTGATATGGGTTTTTCGTTACCTTCAAATCACCGTCTGATTCAGCTCGTGGTCGTATCCCCTTCCTCAAAGGATTCCTCAGCAACAACCCCTCTTCCTTTACCCTCGATTGATGTCCAATTTATAAGCAACCAAAACTCGAATTCTCAAAAATTTCCTCCTCTGTTTTCTGGGTTTTTCGCTAATCACTATTCTTCGTTTTTCTTCCCTTTTTAAAACCTAATCAAGGCCCTAATACGCTTCCACATCCTCTAATAATCCACTCATCAATCCCACGCTTCTAGCCTACGCGTCCACCGCCCCTCATCCCCCTTTACAGCAGCTGCTTGACGCAGCTGCTTCGATTTTTTTCTTTATTTATTTTATTTATTTTATTATTATTTATTTATTTATTATTTTTTATTTATATATATATTTTAATTATTATTATTATTATTATTATTATTATTATTATCATCATCATCATCATCAAACACAAAAAATAAATACAAAATACATATTATCATTATTTTAGGTTGTTACAATTCTACCCTCTTTTTAAGAACTTTCGTCCTCGAAAGTTTTCAACTCCCTAAACAAGTATGGATACTCTCGTTTAAACTCCTCTTCTCTTTCCCAAGTAGCTTCACTAGCTTGCTGATTCTTTCATAAAACTTTAACAAAGGGAATATCTCTGCTACGCAAGGATCTCACTTCCCGTGCTAAAATTTTCATGGGCTGTTCTTCGTAGCTTAAGTCCTTCTTTAACTCCAAGTCTTCATAATGAAGAATATGCATAGGGTCTGCAACATACCTCCTCAGCATCGAAACATGAAAAACATTATGTACAGCATCCAACGCTGGTGGTAATGTCAATCTATAGGCTACTGGGCCAACTTTTTCGAGGATCTCAAAAGGTCCAATAAAACGTGGACTAAGCTTCCCCTTTCTACCAAATCGCAAAACACCACGAATTGGTGCAATCTTCAGGAACACATGATCCCCTACCTCAAACTCTAGGTCCTTCCTTCTAATATCTGCATAACTCTTCTGACGACTTTGGGCGGTCAAAATTCTCTTCCTAATCTTCTGAATCGCCTCATTGGTCGTTCGTAGCAAATCTGGACCTAATAGCGGTTTACTACCTACCTCCTCCCAATAAATTGGAGTTCGACACCTCCGTCCATAAAGTGCTTCAAAAGGAGCCATCTGGATAGTTGACTGATAACTATTATTATAGACAAATTCCACCAAATATAGGTAGGTGTCCCAACTGCCAGCAAAATCAAGTACACATGCACGCAACATGTCCTCGAGAATTTGATTTAATCTCTCTGTCTGTCCATCTGTCTGAGGATGAAATGCTGTACTAAACTTTAGTTGTGTACCAAGGGCTTTCTGAAGACTCTTCTAGAATCGAGAAGTAAACCGCGTATCCCTATCTGACACAATAGAAACTGGTACACCATGCAACCTTACAATCTCCTTTAAATACAATTGTGCCCACTTGTCAACCGAATATGTAGACTTACTCGGTATAAAATGGGCTGTCTTAGTTAATCTATCCACAACGACCCATATCACTGTAAACCCTAACTGGGTTCTTGGTAGTCCTGTAATGAAATCCATAGTCACTTCTTCCCACTTCCACTGAGGCACATTTAAAGGTTGCAATAATCTAGCTGGTTTCTGTCTAGGTGCCTTAACTTGTTGACAAGTTAAACACCTACTCACACATTCAGCAACATCTTTCTTCATCCCAGGCCACCAAAAGCATGTTTTCAAATCCTGATACATCTTTTTGGCACCTGGATGCACAGTATAGGGCGACTCATGCGCCTCAGATAGAATCTTCCTCTTGATCTCTACATCATTTGGCACACAAGTTCGGTTCTGCAACTTCAAACATCCATCACCCGTTATCCAGAAATCCTTGATTTGTTCAGTCTCAAGTTGCCTCACAACTTTTGAAAAATAAGGGTCCCTTTACTGACCCCGAATAATTTGTTCCTGCAACGTCGGACAAATAGTCATAAGAGCTAACTGAGCTGTCGCTTTCCTGACCAAGACAGCTATCTGAGCTCGTTCAAACTCCATCTGAATGTTGTGTTGTCTCGTTAGCATTGTAGATAAGTGAGCTGCTTACGACTCAAGGCATCAGCTACCACATTAGCTTTACCAGGATGATGTAGGATCTCCACATCATAATCTTTTACCAACTCCAACCATCGACGTTGCCTCATGTTGAGCTCTTTCTGGGTGAACAGATATTTAAAAATCTTATGATCCGTATATACTTGTATCCTCTCACCGTACCGATAATGTCTCCATATCTTCAAAGCAAATACCACAGCAGCTAATTCTAAATCATGAGTTGGGTAATTGCGTTCATAATCCTTCAATTGCCGAGAAGCATAAGTAATAACTCTCCCGTTTTGCATAAGTACGCACCCCAACCCATGCTTAGAGGCATCACTATAAATTACTAGATTCCCAGTACCGTCAGGTACAATAAGCACTGGGGCTGACGTTAATCTTTCCTTGAGTTTCTGAAAACTACTTTCACAAGCTTGACTCCAATCAAATTTCTTTCCTTTTTGGGTTAACTGAGTCAGTGGTGCGGCAATCCTGCAAAGTCTTTAATAAAGCGCCTGTAATATCCGGCTAAACCCAGAAAACTTCTCACCTCAGTAACTGTAGTTGGTCGAACCCAACCTATAACTGCCTCCACCTTTGCTGGATCAACAGTTATACCATCCTTGGATACCACATGACCAAGGAATACTACCTTTTGAAACCAAAACTCACATTTTGAGAACTTGGCATATAATCTTTGTTTACGCAGAACCAACAAAACCTTCCTCAAATGTTCTGCATGTTCATCGTTTGTTTTGGAATAAATCAAGATATCATCAATGAACACAATGACAAAAGAATCCAAAAAATCCTGGAATACCCGATTCATCAGCTCCATAAACACTGCAGGGGCATTAGTCAAGCCAAAGAACATCACGACAAACTCATAATGCCCATACCGAATACGAAAAGTTGTCTTCGGTATGTCATCTTCTTTGACTCTTATCTGGTGATAATCAGAACGAAGATCAATCTTCGAAAATACCGCTGCCCCTTGAAGCTGGTCAAACAAGTCATCAATTCGCGGCAAGGGATACTTATTTTTAATGGTCACCTTATTCAGCTCCCTATAGTCAATACAGAGACGGAGTGTGCCGTACTTCTTTTTCACAAACAACACTGGAGCTCCCCATGGTGACACACTAGGTCGTATGAATCCCTGGTTCAACAACTCCTGTAATTGCAACTTCAACTCTTTCAATTTCGCGGGAGCCATCCTATAAGGAGCTTTAGAGATAGGTGTTGTCCCTGGTTCTAGTTCAATACCAAAGTTGACTTCTCGCTCTGGTGGTAAACTAGGTAATTTATCAGGGAAAACATCTAGGAATTCATTCACTACAGGTACAGTTGATACATCTGTATCCACTCGTCCCACTTCTACCACACTAGCCAGGAATGCCACAGCACCGTGACCAATTAACTTCCTAGCCTTCAAAGCAGTAATTGTCTTGGGAACACTTCCCAGCTTCGTACCCTGAAACCGGAAGCTCTTTCCCATCGAGAGGTGAAAAACTATCTCCTTCTTATAACAATCGATACTGGCATGATGAGCAGATAGCCAATCCATGCTCAAAATAATATCGTAATCATACATATCTAGCACCATTAACAACACGTCTAATGGTTGGCCGGATACTTCTACTTTATTCAGTTTCATCTTTTCACGGGTCATCAATATGACTCCTGAAGGTGTAGAAACTAAAATCTCATAACCTAAAGGCTCTACTTCAAGTTGGGCTTGACAAACAAACGATAATGATATAAAAGAATGCGTCGAGCCAGAATCGAATACAGTATAAGCAAAATAGCCAGATATGGGTAAAGTACCTGTCACCACCATGCTGGCATCCCCCGCTGCCTTACTTGTCGTGGCAAAGGCTTTACCTCGAGCCTGAGGCTGTCCCCCAGCACTCAACTGACCCCCTCCTCCACCTGGAGCAGATCGCTCGGGGCGCATCACATTAGGATTCTTTGCACTACAACATACTCTGGCGAGATGACCAGTCTTGCCACAGCTATAACATATCTTGTCTGCAGCATTACAAGATCCCGCATGAGTTAACCCACACTTACTACAACCTGCCCTCCCTTCACCTAAGTAAGGCCGACGATCATCTCGTTGTGGTACCGTCTGCTGTTGCGAACCCGAGGATATTTGAATAAATTTTCGTTTACCACTTGGTCGCACCTGACTGCTAGAACCCTGATTATTCCTCGGGGTGCTAGCATCTAATTTCACCGCAGCATTATAAGCCGTAACAAAATCTTGAGAAGCATGGGCAGACACGGATCCCTGTATCTCTTGCCTCAAACCCTGAATAAAGAGATCCGTCTTCTCTTCCTCGGTAGCAACCATAAGAGGAACAAATCTGGATAATCGTGTGAATTCCGCCTCATACTCCTTTACTGACCTATTACCCTGTTCCAATTGCATAAAGGCTTTTCGGTTTCGCAATCTCGCTAGAGCAGGATAGTATTTCTCACAAAACTCATGTCTAAAGGCCGCCCATGTGATTGGGGCTCCATCAGCCTCCATCTTCGGCTTCTTTGATTACCACCAAAAATGGGCTGGTCCCTCCAACAAATATGTAGCACACAACATCTTATGATTCTCTGGGCAGTTGTAGAATGTAAACTTTGTTTCAATACATTCCAACCACCATTCAGCTGCCTCAGGATCAGTCCCCTTTCCTCCAAAAGTTGGCGGGGCAAGTTTCATGAAATCTCGTATGTACTCACTCTCCTCTGCCATACATCGTCGGCCATAAGATACTACCCGCGATGGTGCCTCTGTCACGACAGCTGTACCAGGTACCTCTGTCAACTGTGTTGGAGGTATTACTGTCTGAACACCTACTCCTGGTGCTTCAGACACTAATGTCGTCTGGCCCGATACAGGTGCTGTTGGAGCCGCCTGGCTTCCAAGACCAGCAAGGGCTGCCAGTACCGCTTGGTCCACCCGGCTCTGCACCGCCTGATCTACTTGACTCTCAATCAATGATTGTAATGCCTCCAAAGTAATCACAACAGTCGGCTGATCTCTAGCTGCCGATTGAGCAGCAGGCTCCGGAACCGCCTCTGCTGGAGCAGTTCCCTCTACAGGCTGCCCCTCATTCCCCGAGTCCACATTGGATGTACCAGGGTCTAAATTCTTAAATACGACCATATCTGTCACACGCATAATTAAGTGGTCATCATCAATTCTTTTAAACTTTTCATACTATTCTTTCATACAATTTAATCATACATGACTTACCTAACCGAGGCGAGATACCGCTGAGCTGGACTAAAGGAATCCATACTGTCTATTCTAGACTGTCTACAGAACCTATAACCTAGGCTCTGATACCAACTTGTAACACCCGCTCATCGTCAACGCGATTAACAGGAGTTACCTTCGACAACAATAACAAACTCTGATATCCAATCATAAAACTCAAAATATTTCTAAAAACATCCAGTAAAATATTTAAAACCAGTACTTTTAAAAACTTAAAACGACCAAAGTAAATTCTTGACAACGAAAACATAATTACATAAACAGACCCAGACATGGATTCCCAGTAGTCTCTAGCTCGCTGGTCTCGTCCTCGGTTGGCCTGCATCATCTAAATCTGGAAAGAAAAGTTATAATAATTTTGATGAGTAATTAGATTACTCAGTAAGTAGCTAGCTTATCATTAAAGAGTTCATAACTAATCTTTCCAGGTGTTGTTAAGTTTTATTCATCATTGACTCCTAGTTCTCTTACTAGGGTCATTTGTTCGTTAATGAGGTATCTCAGCTACCTCCAGCTAGGTTATTGACTCTCTCTCGATATGCTTATCTAGAATTTTCAGACTCGTATGTAAGACTCGCTCTCGGTCAAATACGGCCTGTCTACTAATTGCTCTGATGGCCTGTTTATCTCATATACCAACGGTCAGGAGTACTCATGCTCCCTGACTTAGCACATAGCACGTTGGCCAGGAACTCCGCGGGAATTAGTAGACTATCATACCCATATAAATAAGCCATAGCTCAACAACCAATAAGCATATCTTAGAGTCATAAACTTTCTATTAACATGCATAACATACTCACAGTTACTCCATGTTTTCATACATGTATCATGTTCAACACATAGAACATTCTGACAATCATTTATATCATGCTTACATCACAGGCAAGCAGTCACAATATACAATAAACACTCAATATCATCAAAGCTCATCATAACATATTAAGCTCTTAATCAGGTAAACAACATACTCACATGTTGTAAAACAAGTTAAGAACTAGTTCAAAGGTCGATACGCTACTTACTTGGTTTCGAACTCCTTTTCCCCCTTGAATGTACGTTTAATAGTATTTCAACACAATTCCTTCCTATTAGACCTATATTTTATCAATTTCAACCTAAGTATAGACCAATTTTGATAGGACAGGTCAAAAGGAGTCGAACGGGACAAACCAGGAGCCAAAATACCCGCTCACGCGCCCTCACGCCCCAACACAAGGTCAGGGTTCGTTTCTCACGCGCCTGATCCGTACACAATCGCACTTCCACTCGCGGCCTCCCACGTGCCTCGCGTGTCCTTCACGCGCTCGTCTTCAACCTCTCCTCCCTGCAGTTTTTTTTTCCAATCTTTTTCCTTTAATACCCGTTGTGTCCCGAAGCAAAAATTTCATCTCTACAGCTCGAATTTCGTGCTGATTTCTTCTACAACTTTATAGATCTCCTAACTACGGTTCTAACAAGCCTTATTTCATAATTTATTATGCAGTATGAATCAAGATATCGAGATTTAAAGGTTCGGTGATATGGGTTTTTTGTTACCTTCGAATCACCGTCCGATTCAGCTCGTGGCCGTATCCCCTTCCTCAAAGGATTCCTCAGCAACAACCCCTCTTCCTTTACCCTCGATTGATGTCAAATTTTTAAGCAACCAAAACTCGAATTCTCAAAAATTTCCTCCTCTGTTTTCTGGGTTTTTCGCTAATCACTATTCTTTGTTTTTCTTCCCTTTCTAAAACCTAATCAAGGCCCTAATACGCTTCCACATCCTCTAATAATCCACTCATCAATCCCACGCCTCCAGCCTACGCGTCCGCCGCCCCTCATCCCCCTTTACAGCAGCTGCTTCGATTGTTACAAAAAGCTTTAATTATTTATTTATTTTATTATTTTTTAATTATTTATTATTTTTTTTAATATATTTTTTTAATTATTATTATTATCGTCGTCATCATCAAACACAACAAATAAATACAAAATACATATTATCATTATTTTAGGTTGTTACAAAAAGCTTTCAAAAGAGACATATGCATGTGGTGTCTCCAATTTGCACCAATAGAGGGTTGTTCCCCAAAAGTTAACTTTGAAGTTCCATTGGTAATCATCTCCATGATTAAGCAAACGATGATACCCCAAGTCATCGTCTTTAGACTGACAATGCACAAGCAACGCAAGTTTGCTTAGCCCGTTAACCACATGAATGTAATATCTAGAAGGTCCTGGTGGTGGTAACGCGACCCTTGGAACCTGAGGCCCAACTAAAGCCACCGTGAAAAGAAAGAAAACGACAATATTCTTTATCATTTCCTAATCATCCTTTAGCTTAACTACCAACTTGTGTTGGACATGTGAATAAATATACATACTTATAGTACATGCAAGAAACTATGTAAATGCATGCTATGGTTGTAAAAAACTTAATCATTTAACTAATTTCGGTTATGCAACATAATTTAAGGTTAATTTTGGGATAATTTTAGAGATTTATTAGATTTTCAATAACAAAATTCCTGGAATAGATAATAGTTATTAGCCCAAGAATAATAAATATTTCATTGATTTTTACAACTCTCATAAAATGGACAACAAAATATGAATACTTTCCCGTAGAAAATATAAAATAGATAAAGCAATTCATAGATTACATATGGTATAGCACCCAAGTCCAACAAGGTATTAAATTCCGATTAACTTTTTAAAGTTGAACTTTCAAACCTTTTACGAGGACCTTAGAAATTTTAAGGTGAGGTAGAACAGATAAGTTCAAAAAATTCTAGAACTATAGTTTCAAATAGGAAATGCGCAAGACTTCTTTCGTAAGAATTACTCAATGCCTGTTCGGAGAACCATCATGGAGTTTTGATTTCATCATGTCACACCCTGAATCTCTAGGAAAATTTTTGCCAATCAATGTGTATAAAATAAGAGGGAAATCAAAATTTATTAATATATGCCAAATTAATCTAACGAGGGAAGGGTACGAGATACATGATTCCCTAGGTCCATAATTCCTCTATTACTTCTAAACTCTAGAGTACCCTCTCGTCACGATTAAGCAACATACTTGTAGTCTCTCATCACATCCTTAACCTAGGAGGGAACCAATTGTTTACTTTTGTCCCTAGAGTTTCCACACTCTTGATACAAAGACCTGGGTAGAAAACTTAGCCTTCGCAATGGTACAAGGTGGGGAAGAACATGGTGAGTGTTGGTCTGTTTGCATCCATGGGAGTGTTAACTGGTGAACTCGTCCCATAGGCCATGAAGTAACCTACGGTGAGGGGGTGCTACCCCTCGGTAGATGCCACCTAAACAGGTTACTCACATGATCAACAACCTCTCATAGGACGGATCCTACGTGCAGGGTAACTACTACCTAGCCTCGTGATTAATGTCCTAAAACACGACGTGTCCACAATGCAGTGTAGTCAATCTACCACTGAGTAACAAGCCTTAGACACAGGATTGTCAGTTGTATGGCTGGTGTCGTAAATCCTAGGGGGAGTGTCTTGGAGAATAAATCCTAGAAAGTCTCGACCCACACATCTACGTGATTACCCTAGACTTAATTCGATTTTGTTGCTTATTCTCAAAAAGGAAGGATCACACAATCATTCACCAGGAATCACACATGCTCAATGGGGTGTGACATCTATCCAGCACCTAGAGTGCTGATAAATAAACATCTCATCCACTGTCATAGCATGATTACTTACACCCGTAGTAAAGTATATCTAGACAGTATACTAGGTAAGACAAGAAATTTCAACAACTAGCAAGCTTGTTTTCCCTCTTAGTAACTTTCCTAGGTAGTTGTTAATCAAGTATAGCTACCTAGGATTAATTTTACTAGCATGCATTCATAAGCAAGCGAATTGTACAAGTACTGCTTTGTAGATTTTCATGTTGTTACTTATAGATTTGTCATGTGCCTTCTCGAGTAGGATTACAGGACAAAAAGAAAATCCATACACGCTCTCACGTGCTTTTCTAGCACCAAAGAAGTTTTCAAGGTGCGCATACCATGCGATATTCAAGCACAAAAGATGTTGTCTACGCGCGTTTACCACACGTCTAGCAAAGGTACAGCGGGACGTGTGTCATTGGTTAGTGTACATGTCGGGTAGGATTTTGAGCACACGAATCGAACTCCAGTTCATTGGTACTGTTTGAGATACAAAGGGTTGACTGGGTCGTGTGCGGTTTAGCGAGTAAAGTGGTATCTCAAAACACGTCCTCGTTGACTCGTTGACCCATCATTCCTGCCACGTTGTGATACATTTCAACTTTTTGCTAATACGCTTCTCTCTCGTCGCCAGCAGTTGTGTATCCATGGTTGATTCTTCCAACGTTCAATTTGTCTAGATTTCACTGAGCGACGCATTTCAATCTATTTTTTTTGGATTGCTTTTTATCTTCCAATCGTTAACTAGAAATGACTTGGTTTCTTCACGAAAAATGAAGATATCGAATCAACCAATTGGATGCCATTTTTTTTTTTAATTTTTAGGAAGATAGAGACCATAATAATTGAGTTCAAATTTTGAAAAAAATATATTTTCTTATCGAAATTATAAATCTCTCGAATCTAATTCTGAAACAAATCATGGTCTAGTTTCAACACGAAACTTATAAGAATCCTTTCCTGGAACATCGTAGTCAAATCGAACGATCCTACAACCAAAACTGACACTCATCGATCCTCTTACTAGGACTAGAGATAAATCTTTTGCCAAATTTTTCATTAAAGTGTCCGAAATTTTCTTTATTTGATAAATATTGAATTTTAGTTCCAAGGTTCCTTAAGGCTTCTCAAGCATTTTTTTTTTCCCTTCTGCACTTGAGATTCACCCTCTATGTCAATAATAAAATCCAAAAATTTCTAAATTTAAGGTATTAAAGTAAGAGTTATATATCTGTTGTGGCTCCGGTGTTACCATTCAAATCCGTCAAGAATGAATAAAGCGTAGGCAAGCATTTCATTTTTTCAAATTTCGTTTCTTGAAATTAAGTTCTAAACTTTTAGTAGGTTCATATTGGGGGAATTTCACCCAAGATTCATACAGGAAGCTAGAGTTCATTACGATCTAAAGGCTATATTTCATTTAATTTAAAGAAATGGTAAATTTCCTAAGTTTTAAATTCTGGACGGAATTTGCACTTTATTATTTCTTTTTGTGGCTAAAATAAACTTAAAAGAAAATACCTATGGGTACCCCTAAGAAGTTACAAAATTTAGAAGAAATTAGATAGGCAATAGAAACCTCATCGTATTTCTAAAATAATGAATGTTGGCAAAAAAGGGAGAAGGCATGCGTTAGACGATGTTGGCAGTAGCGAGTCTAAAGCTCAGTAGGACAAGTGGCAAATGCTGAGCGGAGAGAATCGTTCAGCTACTAATTGTGACATGCATGCAGGTTAACCCGATCCCTAAACCTGGATTCGATCAAAAGCTTGCGTGTGCAACTCGTTAACCTTCGACCCTAACAAAAAATGCAACCTGAACTTGATCCAATGACTCAATGAGTAACCGAGATCTACAAAAAACCTCTATGCATGAAATTCTATGTGAAAAGCCTTTCCCGACGTGTGTAAGCGCATGTGAGTCTCATTTTGTTCGTTCGACCTCCGTTTGTCAGTTTTTTGTCTTGACTTCGATATTAACATAATTATGCTTGAATTAGGATCTACGAGAGAAATTCCATAAATTCTTGAGCTCCAAACACGTGGAATAGCTGGCACAAGAATGTAAACGTCATTCAAGTAAGTAACCACATAAACTTTAGGCAAGTAATACTTGTATAGATCGCTAGGACATGATAGCATGCGAGCATTCCTTAACTTAGGTGGTAATGTTAACGACCTCAGAAAAGCTTTCTTTTTATGAGTATGTATTGTACGTATGTCTTTTATGTATTATATGCATGATTAAAATACAAATTGAGCAATATGGATGAGTATGTTATCCATGATGGAAGAAATTACCAAAATGCCCCTATGATAAAATTTCGTATGAATGTCGTTTTCTATGCTTTCCATTGCATAGGAAATTAGAATTGGTAAGAGCGACGTGTGCTTCGCAAGCACTAGAAAATCTTGATAAGATTAGGACGCAATAGCGTGTGCAGAATCTTGATAAGGTCCATAGATTTCTAGTGGACTAAATATGATAAGAATCTTTATTATTTTTAATTTCATAATGTTTGAAATTGTCAAAGTGTCAAATTGACCTCGTCCTTCGTGGAGATTTAAGGGGATCGAAATTAAATCATGGCCACAAATGTCACTTATGGGGAGTATAAATACCAAGAAATTGTTATGTAAAAATCAAATTCGTGGATGAATGAAATTGAGATCTCAAATTTAGACGCTTTCTTAGAAATCAGAATATCATATTTGTCATTTCTAAGTTTCAAGCAATTCTTGTGGTAGAATTGCATCCGAGCCATTCAATCAAGCCTTGATTAAGTTTGATTGCGGAGTGACTCGATTTAAAACAAGGTTTCCAAATCTTGCTTCTAGATCTTCGATCGTAAGAGGTAATCTAATTCTAGCCTTATCTCTTGGTTGATCCGAATTTTGTATAAGTAGGTGTTAATTACTTGGATTCAAGT